AAAAAATAAATTCAAATAAAAATGTCTAGATGTTATTGATTCTTTTTTTAAATTTTTGTCACATTTATTTATGTATGTATTTGGGATAGCATACGCATCTCATGGCACAAGAGTGGAGGTAAGAGGTCAGAGGACAGCGTATAGAAATCCAGTTCTCTCTTTTCAACACATGGGTTCTAGGGACCAAACTTAGGACCTCAGCCTTGGTAGCAAGCATCCCCCTGAGCCATCCTACCACCTCTAGATGCTGTTGATTGCCTTGTCTTGTCTTCCAGTACTATCTAGATCAGTGGCTCTCAAGCTTCTTAATGCTGCGACCCTTGTTGTAAGTGATGATTAATATTTACTATTGGTTTATCTTTTATTAACACTGCTGTTAATCCTAAACAACTGTATAACCAAATCACCACACAGAGACTATGATTTATTTAGTTAACCTAGAACACAATGCTGGGCAATAGTTGCTCCATCCTAAACCTCCAAGCCCTCATAGTTTCCTAACATTTAGATTTCCCACATTATACTCACTTTTAGTGAAATCTTAGATCCAGGCCATCTTTCCACGTTGTTCCAAGATCTCTCTCCTGCCTGTGTTCTCCCAGCTCTCTCCTGCCCTTTTACCCCTCCTCTACCTCCCACCTTCCTGTCCTCTGGCTCCTCCCTCTCTTCCTGCTTCTTTTCCCTTGCTCAACATTGTGGCTAGTTGCTTTATTTTGGCATGATTACACAAAGTTGAGACAGGATGCTTAGAATAAGTATCACAATGCAATGTCCAGATTGAAACCAGAGAGTGGGGGGAGAAATCACATTTGAATGAACAAGCGCAAGGTGTATACATTTCAAAAGAACATTATACCAACAGACCCTTTAATACAGTTCCTCATATTGTGGTGACCCCAACCATAGTAACACCATTTTAATTACTACTTCATAACTTTAATTTTGCTACTGTTGTAAATCATAATGTAAATATCTAGTATGCAGGATTTCTGATACACAATTGTGTGGAAGTATCCTTTGACCTGCTATCTGCACATTTGGAGATTTTGTTTTTATCTTCTATAAGTTCTGAGTATTTTGTTATTTGTTTTTTGAGACTAGGCTTTCAAAATGCCTGGACTAGCTTAGAACACACCATGTAGTATAGCCTGGTGTAGCTTAATCCCAACATGCTTTTAATCCCAACATTCAGGAAGCAGAAAGAAGCAGGGACAGGCTGATCTGTGAGTTCAAGCCAGCCTGGTCTACTTACTGAGTTTCAAGATAGCCACAGCTGTCACAGAGAGACCCTGTTTCCAGACTGAGGGCATTCCGTTCTATTTCTAGTTACCCAGAGATTTCTCAACTATGAACATACAAATACAATGCCAGTGAGGTCCCCTTTTCTGGCTGGAACCATGCAGGGCTTCACAGAAAAGAAAAAGAATGTTCCTGCTGTGCCAGGGACTTTTAGACTGCAAAGGAATTTTGCAGAGTTGAAGGTCAAGTGCCAATAAAAGAAATTTTCCCAAAGGTTGCTTCGAAAGACAAGGGGGAAGCTTATTTTCAGAGAAAAGTCTAAGCACAGGGCTGGAGAGATGGCTCAGTAGTTAAGCGCACTGGCTGCTGTTCCAGGACCAGTGTTCAATTCCAAGCAAAAACACGCTGACTCACAACCCTGGTCCCAAGAAATCAGACGCCCTCTTCTGGCTTCCACAGGCACCACGCATACACATGGTGCAGACTCAAATGCAGGCAAAGTACCCATGCATATAAACTGAATTAAAAGAAAATAGAAAAGGCACTATCACAAGGAGCACGGGCAAGTATACAGGACTGAGATTTGAAGGGCCTGAATGACAAGAAACGCTGGCAGCTTCTCACAGCTTCTACATACCTGTAGAACTCCCAACTGGTCTTTGTTATAGGAACAAAGGGACCTCTGGGGTTGTGAGCCCAGAGGTCTGATGGGTGTCGCAGCTTCATCTGTGCCTGACCTGTGTTCAGCCCAACAACCAAACCACACATTGCATAGCATACCCCAGCCTGAAGTCTTTAAACGAACTAATCTGCAAGTGTGGCTGTGGTAAAATCTATAAGCAATTGCCTTGGCACACACCTTGGAGCTCGGTTTCTGGGTAAACATGGCATCATCTTCATGGAGGATCTCATTCATGAGACTTAGACTGTTTGAAATGCTTCTGGAACCAAGGAACTTCCTGTAGCCCTGCAAGTTATCTTCTCCAGGGAGTGAACAGAGAAAAAGGAACCATTGCAGAAGATGGAGATGCTGGTAGCAGGGAAGAGCAGAGCAGGAGGCTCATGGGAAGGAGGAACCATGCCTCCTCTGCAGTGCAGTATTTTTGTAATCTGGCCAGCTGATGAACAGTGGCTGCTTACTGAACTGTGGGGAGCATGTCAGTAAACTAGACACAAGGATGGCTACAGGCATGCCGATTTATGTGTAATCCCAGCACCTGGGTGGTAGAGGGAGAGGGTAAGTTAGCCTCAGCTACACAGTAAGGAGGTGCCAGCACATGCCTTCTCACTGATGGATATCCCCTGAAGACAGCAATAAGCATAGGCCTGAAGCCCCCGCCCTCATCCCCAGGTCTCTTAGTGCCCAGGCTCTATTGGATCTACCCTGTCTACTTTGTCTTCCTGGACTTCTTCAGTGGAGAACAAACTCTCTGATGGCAGAACCCAGGCCTCTCCAACACTTGCATCCTGAGCTCCCGGATCCACACTGGCCTGTGTGGACAGATGCTGGACACGTGCACATAGTGGGATACATGAGGCTACGCTAAGCAAGCCAGGCTGAGTCAAGGAATTCATCAGATCATTCTAGGTGTTCCTCACCCTGAGCCTGGATGTCTGACTTGGAGCCACCCAACAGCTCTGCTCCTCTTTAGGAGTGTGGGAAGTTTCATTGATGCCTTGCCTCTGGAGGGCTGACTTAGCCACTTCCATCTATCATGCACCTTGACTCTCCCCTGCTTTTATTTCTTGCTCTGAACCTTACGAAAGCCCCTTAGCTAGTCCATTTGCATGTGTCCCCCAACCCATCATATCCATCAATGTTGTCCTTGCCATCCCCCTAGTCAGAGACTCAGTCTTCCTTGTCAGGTCTACTGCCCCACCCCCTCTCCGCATCTTGTCCCACTGTCATCCTCCCATCACAATTACTGGCTAGTCCCCTCCATGGGATTCAGTCATCACCTGTGTTGGAAGGTCAAGAACCATGTCCTCCCAGAACAACTGGCCACTCTCAATTCCAAAGCCCTTTCTGCCTCTCTTATCCTGAGCCCCATGGGGGAGGGGTGTCTGTGCTAAGAGAACAGGCATCTTTTCTCAATGAAAAGCACCAGTGCTTAGGTCCAATTAAAGGTCTTTGAAGTGGCTGCCCAGACATGAGGTAAGGTATGGACCCCCAAAGAAGGTATTAGGGCATATGGCAATTGTGGGCATTACAACAGGACACTGTAGCTGGCTGCAAAGTGGTCCCCATGGGCTAAGTATTACAGCAAACTCTCTGAATCTGCTTGCTCATCAATAAAGTAAGGTAAGGGATATAAAATACCAGTTGGTGCCCTTAAGGTAGTGGTTCTCAACCTTCCTACTGCTGCAACTCTTTAGTACAGTTCCTCATGTTGCGGTGACCCCCAACCATAAAATTATTTTGTTGCAACTCATAACTGCAATTTTGCTACTATTATGAATGTAATATGATGTAAATATCTGATATGTGACCTCCCCCAAAAGGATTGCAACCCACAAGTTGAGAACCACTGCCTTAAGGGACCCCTGTTTCAGGCCATGGTTGTGATAAGTGTCCCCCACCCCACCTCGTCAACTCAAGGCTTTTGCTCAAGGGTTCCTCCCAGGTGGGTGATGCAAAACTTTACCTACACTGGAGAACTAGATCTTGTGACTTTGGGTCATTTCTGTAGCTCAGACTGTTTATAAGGCTCCAGAGCCAAAGAAAGAGTCCCACTCAGTGGGGACCATGCTGGCCTGTCCACATTAGGTTTCAGACACTAGGGAATCCTGGCTACCTTCCCTATGAACCTTCTCTCTGCCCCTGGCACCTGGGGCATACTTCTATCTCTCCTCTAAACAGAGCTCCATGAGAAGACACCTGTGTCCTGCTCACCTTCATGCCATCTCTGCCTGGTACCCAGCAAAGGTGGTAATTAAGGTAGGTAAGATGTAAGCAAGAGTAGGCCAAGTTTATTTGGGTTGGGTCATACTGAAATATCAGCTTCTCTCATCTCCCTTATCTGTGAGAACTGAATCTGTTGGGAAACGAAGGCAGGATGAGCACAAAAGGCTTGGCCTGGGAGAGCTTGGAGTCACAGGACTTCACATCACTCACAGGGATGTGGTAGAAGATGCTGGGCAAGCACCAGCCGGTCCACTCTACTGTGAGCCCCAATACTTATTAAGCTGCTAGCCCTGGGCCAGGCACTTCACTTGAGTTCCTGGCATCTGCTAACTGCACATGGAAGCTCCCTTCCTCCCCCACTTCATACAGTGCCCTTGAAGAGACCAGACACTGGTGCAATGGTGACAATTTCTGTGGAACAGTGAGCCTTTCTTAGGGCCATCCCAAAGACAGGAACCACAGACCCCAACCCCACCTGTGATGCAAAGAGACCTGTCCCAGGCTTTAGGCAACCTTTAGTCTAACCTCTGCAGGATTCAATTCATGTCAGCCAGGTGCATGGCAGAATGTGACCCACAGCTACCCAACACTTCCAGCTTTTCCTTCTTTTCTTTCTTTCTTTCTTTTTTTTTTTTTTTTTCCTTTTTGTTTTGTTTTGTTTTGTTTGCATTTTGAGACAGGGTTTCTCTGTGTTGCCTTAGCTGTCCTGGAATTCACACTGTAGACCAGGCTGACTTCAAACTCACAGATCCACCTGCCTCTGTTTTCCAAGTGCTGGGATTACAGGCGAGGGCCACCACAGCCAGTTCCACCCTCAGTTTCTCTAAGATATCAGCGAAATAAGCAGTCTCAGCTCTGAACTGTTCCAATGACATTTATTAAGGTTCTGAGGCTGAGAGCACATACACAGGGAAGGAAAACTGTCACAGCTCAGCAGGCCTGGCCACCCAGGGGCATGGTGATGCACCTGCCTTTGTCCTGTAAGAGCCCTAGAGAGGCACTCGCATTTTCTCTGGGGAAGATAAGCACACTAGAGGTTTCCTAATTTGCCCACTAACCTCGAGCATCCTGCCCACACTTCTGGAAATCTAGAGGTAGATGGTCTGCTCTCTGACCTCAGCCAGGACTGGGGACCCACATCTGACAAAAACAGTGTTCACCCCAGGCCAGCAGTCTCTGCTTACCCCTAAAGCCTGATAACTAAAGTTTGGCATGAATAAATTCCAGCAGGTTCTCCAACTGCTCCTCCAAGCACTGTTCATCTCCATGGTTTTCAATGATCCAGTCAAAGTTCCCAAAGTTGTCCAGGCCACATTCTGACTCAGCATCGTCCACACCTGGGAGAGAGCATAGAGGAGTCAGGTCCAGACCTCCAGATACCCTGTGTCTCTCCTCTGAGAGCCTCTGTGAGGCAGGTGTGGCCTCCCATCATGGGCTGAGCTCCAGGCAGCCCCTGAAGAAGCCCCAGACTGTGGTCTACAGAGAGAAGACTGGGTCATCAAAAACTACAGACAACTCAAAAGAACATCACACTGTTAGGCCAGACTGGCATGTGCTGGAGCCTGCTGGGAGGCTGTGTCAGGGCTGGAAGCTGGATGAGAGTGTGGCTCCTCCTATTCCTCATGGCCTTGAGAGAGACACTTGACCTTTCTGGGTCAAGGCCCTCATCAGCAATGAGTACAGGAATAGCAGCACCCACACAGCAGTTGTAAAGCAATGAGCATGTAAAGAGGAAGTAATGTACAAAGCACCAAACAGAGGCTGGCCTGTCAGAGCACCCAGGAGATGCGCTGTCAGTAGCAGTTATACTCATTAGCTCTGAGTGTATCCATGGAACAGTGACCTGGGGCAGGACCAAGGCCTGAGCTGCACTTCAGAACTGTCTGCAAAGCGGGTCCTGCTGGCACCATGGAAGCCCCTGGAAAACTTCCTGTTCAGCCCCCTGATTTGTCAATCAAACAGAATCAGTGTTTGTTTGGCTTGCTTGCCAACCACTTTCAGCCCCAAAAGTCTAAGGGCCACAAGAAGGGGGCCTAGCCAGAGAAGTCCACTGGCCTTTACAAGATAGTCAAAGAAGATACCCTACAAACTTGACCTTCTACCAAGCCATTCCTCAGCCTTAGATTCCCCTCTACAACCTCTCACTCTCTCTCTAGGCCTGCTGGGGAACAGGAGACTAGAGTACAGGGGTAGCCGAGCCACAGGGATAAATACTATTTGCAGCCTACCTGGTGTGAACACCCAGCCCCGCTGCTGTCGGCTCTGCTCTGAGGCTACTACTCGGACTGTCTGTGTCACAGCCCCATAGGCCTCCTGAAACCACTGGATGTCAGACCCCCTCCGTGTGTCACTCACCAGCTGCAGAGAAGAGACATGTAACCATTAGGACAAAGTGCTATAGGGGAAGGAAAGCTGGGGAGGGGGAAGGGACAGACACTATAGAAGCCAGAGCAATGGTGAAGCTCACTAGACAAACACCTGCTCGGCAGGCCAATCACTCAGCTGTGGTCCTAAGGAAGGGGCACTGCGAATACTGACTGTGCACTGACACTGTGACAGGCACGGAGGATAGAAACATAAGCAAGACATACCTTAGATATACAGCAGCTTCCCCAATAACCAGGGACCACAGGGCAGGCAACTGTCAACCCAGAATGGCTGAAACATTGTTCCTCTACTCCTGATCAATCCCGATCTTTCCTGTCTCTGCTCAGACAAAATCCTTGTCCTTCTACCCCATAACCAACTCATCACCCACTCAACCCCTACTGGCCCTATCCTTAAAATACTTCTTAATTCTCTCATGGCTCTGAGCTCCAGCCAGTCACTGCGTCATCAAATACAACCCTCTACCAGACCTCTGCTTCAGCTCTTACCTGCCTACAGCATCCAGAGCAAGCCTCTTATATCCTTTGTTGGTTTTGAGCAAGGTCTCACTATGTAGCTCTGGCTGGCCTCAAACCTACCATGTCGCTAAGGCTGACCTTCAACTCTCAGTACCCCTGTCTTTGCCTCCTGAGTGCTGGGATTATAGGCATGCACATATGCACACCACAACTATAATCCCAGGTGTGGGAAAGAGAGAATGTGTATAGTGTACATTAATGAATGTATATCACATGTGTGGGTACTTGTGTGTGGGGGTGGATGTTCCCATGTGTATATGTGTAGGTACAGAGGCCAAGGTTGACTTAGGGGGTCTTCCTTGATCATCCTCCACTTTATTCACTTGAGGGAGGGTCTCTCACTGGACCTAGAGCTCACTGATGTGGCTACTTTAGCTGGCCAACTTGCTGACGGTCCCTGTCTCTGCCTCACAAGGGCTGTGTTTACATGTGTGAAGATACTTCAAAGAATTTCGTTTTCTCCTTCCACCATGTGGATCCTGGATCAAACTCAGGCCTTCAAGCTTGGCAGCAAATGCTTTTGCCCACTGAGACATCTTACCAGCCTCCACTGGCCTTTTATGAGGGCTCTGAACTCCAAAGCTTTACCATTAAGCCTGCTTCAGATCTTTAACCCCACTGTTGGCCTAGACCCCATTAACTAATTCAATTGTCTTTTAATTCCTAAACCGTGTCTTTCCTCTTCTCAGAACTCCTCAGCGACTTCTCAACCCTTCCAAAGCCATACAAGCTCTGCCCTTAATGTCCCACAGGTCACCATAATGGCTGCTTCTCAAACATACTAGCCTTTGAGTTCTGGTCCCTCTTTCTTTCTTTCTTTCTTTCTTTCTTTCTTTCTTTCTTTCTTTCTTTCTTTCTATAATTTATTTAATTTTTATTTTATGTGCATTAGGGTAAAGGTGTCAGATCCGTTACAGACAGTTGTAAGCTGCCATGTGGGTGCTGGGAATTGAACCTGGGTCCTTTGGAAGAGCAGTCAGGGCTCTTAACCACTGAGCCATCTCTCCAGCACCCCCCCATCCCTCTTTCCAGAAAGATACTTCCCCAACTGCCCATTCAGCTAACCCCTTTACTTCCTTTGGGTCCTGCTCCCCCTCACCTTAAGGCCTTCTCTGACACCCTGCCCCCACCTCCACCTCTCTTGCTTTGCTCTACCTTGCATCATCTACAGTTGCTCAGTACCTATCTCCCCAACTCCCAGCTACAACATGAAGTTCCTTAAGGGTAGGCTTCATTGCATTTTGTACCAACACATCCTTAGAACCTGGAGATGTACCTACAAAAGGAGACACTCAGCAGTTAGCTCAAGAATGAATAAGGAAGGCCCAGTGTGTGGTGCTGTGGGCTAGTTAAGGCCTGGGGTTATGGAAGTGGGAGAATTGGGGGCTCAAGGCCTTTATCTAGCTAGCTAGTTAGCCATCTCTTTATTTTGGTTTTTCGAGACAGGGTTTCAAAAAACCTTGTAGCCCCGGCTGTCCTGGACTCGCTTTGTAGACCAGTCTGGCCTCCAACTCACAGAGCTCCACCTGCCTCTGCCTCCTGAGTGCTGGGATCACAGGCACGCACTACCCCACTAGCTTGCTCAAGGTCATCTTTGCTACATGATTCAAGGTCAGCCTGGGCTACAGGAGACCCTGTCTTAGGAAAGAAAAGAAAAACAATGGATATCAAGGAAGGCTTCCCCATGAAGGTGACATGAAAATTGTTGGAGTAAACCAGTTTTTAAAAGCAGGAAAGAAGATATGCATGATCTACCAAGCATGGTGGATCTACCAGACATTGTGGCACACACATCTAATCCCAGCACTTGAAAGGCAGAAACGGGTGGATCTCTGTGAGTCTGATACCATCCTAGTCTACAAAGTAAGCTCTAGGCCAGCCAGGAACACATAGTGAGACCTTGTCAAAAAGGGGGGTGGGGGGAGAAAGGAGAAGCATATAAAGGAGAAGCAAATCGAGATAGCATGGTTGACATAAGAGAAGCTGGTGTCTACAAGTCTGTTAGGATGGAAATAATGCAGGAGCTGCATCAAGGCCCCAAAGTTTATGTCACAGCTTGGACTTCGCTCATGTGAGTGATGGTGAGCAACCAGCACATTATGTCAGTCATATATGGCTAACTTTGTAAAAAGTCATTCTGGCTCCTGTACACACAGATGGCTCACTGAGGTAAAAGACCCTAGAAGAACACCTTGGACAGAGGTGGCAGTGAAGGGGAGAGAGATGGCCACAGGAGGGGGCTGGGAAGACAGGTTTTTGCTGAGCCCCTTACCCAGATAGGCTGGGACACGCCTTCCACAATCTTCCGGCAGAAGAAACCTGGGTCGGTCTGGCGCTTCTCCTCCCCCCAGCAGATCATGTCCCTCCGATAAGCCTCCTTGTATGTGCTAGCATCCAGGAGTCTCTGGAAGTCCAAGCCATGCTCCTGCACAAAGCACAGTCCATCCATAACACAGTCCTTCCTAACATGGGAGAGCCAGCCCTGCCTAGTGACTTGCTACACAGGCACTAGCCAGCCTGCACCATGTCAAAGGCCACAGGCAGGAGCACTCTACAAAGGGAGAGACCAGAGGCACTCAAAGCTAGGAGGTCTTAGGATAATTCCTGAAATTAACTAAAGTGTGAAATGTACACTTTTTCTTTTCTGAGGGTTTAATCTTCCCTCAGAAGATTGTTGGCTTAAACTAATCTTGAAATTACTTTGCATTCCCTAGGAACAGCCTTAACCTTTAACCAAAGTGGGAAATTTGAAAAACTAAAGCAAAACTGCACTCCAATCAGAAGCCTTGTATTTTCTTGGCATCATTTGCCTCCATCAGAAACCCCACAGAGATAAGTCTACCCTTTCCCCTTATCCTTCTCTGTCCCCACTGGGCTGAAACAGCGCCGCTACATTTGGCTCTGGGCATTCCTAGGGCCTGCTATACCACAGGACCCCATATGCAGGGGGGACCACCCTGAACCCCAGGGAGCTGCGTCAAGACATGCCATCCCCTTCTCCCTTCTCCAGAGATAATGAAAAGCAACAGGTCCACCTAGAAGGTTCCAAAACAAGAAGGGATTCTCAAAATTATCAGTCTTGGCCAAGCAGTGGTAGCACAAGCCTTTAACCCCATTCAGGAGGCAGAGGCTACAGAGCGAGTTCCAGGGCTACAAAGAGAGAGAAACCCTGTCTTAAAATACAAAAAAAAAAAAAAAAAAAGTCACTCAGTTCATATGCTCTGTTTGCCTTAACTCTCCTCTCTTGTGCTTTCAGGGTCTTCAGCCACAGCCTCTGTTCCAAGAGGTCAGCAGCCCTTCTTTTGAACTGTTTATCCTCCAGGAGTCTTGATGCCTCCGCCAGTAACTGAAGAAACCAATGTGTCAATCAAGATTCTCTTTACAGTGGTGGAATGCTGCCAAATCTTCAAATATCAAGAACCAGGTCATCTGGGTCCCCTATAAAGGTATTTTAAAATGCCAGCTCCTGAGTCTGAAGATCAGTGAAGGTCAGTGATCCAGTCAAGCACTTGCCTGGTGCTTCAGAGGTCAGGGCTCTAGTCCCACACTAAAGAGAAATAATATAAAGTAAAATCCCCCTCTTCCAGCCCCCACTGTCAACAGTACTAGGACAGTGCCTAGCTTTGGAACTTCAGCAGACAGTGGTTTTGAAACTGTGCCTTGGGGCTGGAGAGATGGCTCAGGGTTAAGAGCACTGGCTGCTCTTCCAAAGGTCCTAAGTTCAATTCCTAGCAACCACATGGTGGCTCACAACCATCTATAATGAGATCTGGTGCCCTCTTCTGGCATGTAGGTATAAATGCGGAAAGGGAAAAAGGGAAAGGGAAAGGGAAAGGAAAGGGAAGGGAAGGCAGAAAGAAAGAAAGGAAAGAGAGAGACAGAGAGAGAGAGAAAGAAAGAGAGAGAAAGAGAGAAAGAAAGAAAGAAAGAAAGAAAGAAAGAAAGAAAGAAAGAAAGAAAGAAAGAAAGAAAGAAAGAAAGAAAGAAAGAAAGAAACTAGCTGCACCTCACTGAGGAGGGCTGCACCCCTCACCCCCCCCCCTACTCCCACCTTTGTCTTCTTTTCTCTTCCTGGCTTGAGAAATTCCTGCATCCAAGTTTCCTAACAAAATGTGGAACCCTCTGAGTTTCCTTACTCCTTGATCCCTCAGGAGTACAACCATATGACTAGGTCAACCATGCTGGCAGAGACCCAAGGAGAGAGGACTGTCCTACAGAGTGAGAACAGACATTCTCAGTGTATTCAGAGACTGTAGTGAGGTCACATGAGTGGGAGGAAGTGAGCACAGGTCCCTGGAAGGGCACACTAGGATCAGGTCATGTTGGTGGCCAAAGGCTGTTCATTGTGTGAAAACCTGACCTCATCTCTATGTTCTTTCCCTGAAGTCTAAGATGCCGGGAGCTCCTATTTATTTCTTAATCCTGTTTCAATAATCAGTAATTTTATTTTGTTCTATCCACATGGTTTAAAAGAGGTAGTGCACACCTTTAACCCACACACCTGGTGGTGCATACCTTTAAACTCAGGAGGCAGAGAGGCAAGTGGATCTCTGTGAGTTCCAGGCCAGCAAGGAATACATACTGAGACCCTGTTTCAAAATAACAGTAACAACAACAATAATAATAATATAACAACGAAAATTCAAAGGATATATATTCGTTTACAATAAAAATCTCTTTGCCTTCCTTCCTCCCCTCCCTGAGACAAGCAACACTGCAGTTCCGGCAGTGCAGGTCTGCAAACCTCATAGCTGGAACAGTGCTCAAAAGGGCAAACACTTCATAGATGCACTTAGAGAAGAGCTGGATATGTGAGCAAACATAACTCCAGTACTGAGATTAAATGCATGCAGCACCATGAATAATTTTAATTCTCAGTCATTAATATGGTTTGTCCCCATCAAATCTCCTGTTTAGCCTTGTGGCCAGTATGGTGGTATTGGGATATGTTGCCTCCAAGGTATTATGGCTTTCAGGGAGGATTTTTGAGGTCCCACTCTCATGGAATTGGATTGGTCACCCTGAAAGTAGGTCATTATAAAAGGATCCAGGCCTCTCCCTGCAGTCCCTCTTACCACGTGATCTTTGTTTTGTCCACTGTCCTTCCACCACAAGGTCCTTACCAGAAACTAGGTGGATGCTAAAACCATGTTTTGAACCTTCAGAACTGTGAGTGAGAAATCTCTTTTCTGTACAAAGTCCTCAGCCTCAGATACTGTGTTATATCCAAATAAAACTGACTCAGACACACTGCTTGGCATCTCGCTGTCTGCCTACCTAAGGATGTATCTTGACAACTCATGTGACTAACTTTCTTTGGGGGAAAAGGGTACCTGTGTGTATGCATGCATTTGGAGGTCAGGCATCAACCTCAGGTGTTGTTCCATCCACCTTAATGTTTATGTTGTTTTTGAGATAGTCTCTCACTGGAACCTGGAGCTCACCCATTAGGCTAAGCTGGCTGGCCAGCAAGCCACAGAGGCCCGTCTGTGCCTCCACAGTGCTGGGATTACAAGTGTGCACCACCATGCCTGGCTCTTTATGTAGGTACTAGGGATAGAACTCAGGTCACAGCAGGCACTTTACCAACTGCACAATCCCCCTAGGCCCTGAGACCTCCAAGGCTGCATCAGGCCAGTTGGTGGGAGAGTACAGTGGTGTGTCATAGTTTTGCGTAAGGCTGACAGTACAGATCCTTATTAGTTACAAGGCATTGGAACTGCCAAATCAAGTGTCTCTAGGCTTTTCTGGACCCTTCTTGTTTTGTTTCTTTGTTCTTAACATAGGGTCTCATAGCCAGGCTCAGTGGCGCACACCTGTAATCCCAGCACCCTGGAAGGCAGAAGCAGGCAGATCTCTGCAAGTTCGAGGCCAGCCTGGTCTACAAAGTGAGTCCAGGACAGCCAAGGCTACACAGAGAAACCCTGTCTTGAAAAAGAAAAGAAAAGAAAAACAAAACAAAACAACATAGGTTCTCCTATCTACATACTCTTCCTGGGTCACTGGGACCATGCCAGTGAACTCAAGTGGTAGCCATAGTGCCACAGCCCAAAAGCAGGCTCCTCCCAGTGCCCCAGATACCACAAGCCACCACCTACCCGAGCATACTGCTCCTTGAGTGGACCAGAGAGCCGCAGAACAGCACAGGTGTGACCTCCAAGTCTATGGGACAGGGAATCAGAACCCAGTTAACCCTGAGCTGCCAAGAAGAGGAGCCCAGTGCTCATTTCTACTAAAGGAATCGACACAGCTCAGGCAGGCCTCCCCTTCCCTGCTGCTCTTTGCTCACCTATAAAATAAAGATGGCATCTTCTGTCCTATCAGTCACACAGGAGAAATAAAAAGGAGCTCTGAACTAATCTAACAAGTAGAACCTATAAGAGAAGTGCCAGGGAACCACTCAGCCTGGTGATATTCTGGTTGGATTAGGTTCCTGCTGGGACCCTAAACTTATTCTCTCAGACCTACAGAGACCTTGGGAGAAATTACCCTGGTCATCACAGCATTAATAATTTGCCTATTCAGTTTTTCAGTGTAGTTTTCAACACTTTATTGTATGCTATCCCTGGACCTAAGTAATACCAATGTAATAAGAGTAACAATTTCTACCTGGCACTGAGAGGCTCACAGGTGCACGTAAAGCCCCTACATGATGAAACAGGTGTTCCCCCACTTGTGTGTGTGTATATATGTGTGTGTAGGTCAGAGGACAACTTTCAAAAGTCAGTTCCCTCCTTCCACCACATGAGTTCCAAATCAGGCTTGAAAGCAAGTGCCTTTATCTGCCAAGCCACCTCACTGGCCCATGTTTCATGTTCCAGATGAAGAAAATGAGGTTGAATGAAAAAAGTTAACTAAAAGTAACATTGCTGGTAATGAAGACAGTAAATAAAAATAGCCAACCCTTTATTCCTGGCCAAGAATCATTCTAATTCATGTATCAACTCACTTAATCCTTCTGACCATCCTATATAATGCCCATTTAACAATAGGCAAAACTGAAGTAGAGCAGGTAAGAAGCCTGTAGCAGATACACAAAATGCTTAAACCAGGACATGGCTTCCCAGCTGTCTAACTGCAGCATCCAGGCTTCTGGCTGCTCTCTGCCTATGCTTGGAGCTAAGGGCTGATAAAATTTAGACATAGATGATGATTGTTTAGTAATAGCGGTTTGGGCAATAACCTCTGCCCAGGGCTCCCTTGAACCTCTTAGAACAACTGTGGTACCTCAAACTTGGTGCCCCACCACACTGGCCTTGTAGAGGACCCCCACTGTTCTTTCTCCCACTTTCCTGTCTTCCAACCCAAGCCCCAGGGGAAAAAAAAAATGCTCCCTAGAATATCTTACTACTTAAGAAAAATACAGGGGTGGGGAAACAGTGAGCCTCATGAGCCTGATAATCTTAGTCAGCTCCCAGAACCCATGTTTTTAGAAGCTGGATGCTGACATGGTGGCACAGTTAATCCCAGCACTTGCTGCTCTTGCAGCCCACAGTTCCATCCCCAGCACCCACATGAAGTCTTACAACTGTGTGTAACTGCAGTTCTGGGGGATCAGGTGTCCTCCTTTGGCCTCCAAGAGCACCTGCTCACACCACACATACCCATAAAATAAATAAATCTCTAAAAATAGATAACTATAAAGAAAGGATAAGGTGAGTGAAAGGTATTATTTGGAGGCAGACAAAGCTGAATTTGAATCCTAAATTTACTATTTTATGACCCTAGCAAATTTTAACATTTTTTTGAAACAGGGTCTCTCCCCCCCCCCCCCACACACACACAATGATCTGCCTGCCTCTGCCTTCCTGGGATATTTTGACATTTTAATAGTCAAAATCTCACCATGTTGCCCACTATGGTCTTGAACTCCCAGGAGCATCAGCCTTCCCTGCAGCTGGACTACAAACACGCACGCACACACACACACACACACACACCTAGCTCTTAAAGGCCGCTGTTTCTGGCATGGAATTGCTAATAACATTATTTGACATAAAAGCTATGTGGGTAACAGTGCTTGGCATAGAATATTCACTATATACCTGCTATTACAGGGTGTTCTGGGCAGATTCTCTTTGGAACTGACCCACTTAGCACCTGAGTCTTGGGAAAACCCTTGCTATCACTTTAGTCTGTTTACCTATACCAGTTCCCTCACCACACGATCGTGAAGCAGAAATGACACACTGAAGGTGCCTACTCTAGTAATCGTTAATTCGTGTTCCTTGAAGAGAGGCCTACAGCTTCAGCGTTCTGCAGAGGCAGTCCCCTGAAGGACGTGTGCAGGCTGCTGCTCTATTTTAGCGACCGTGAGGATCTAGCTTCTCCTGCCCAACGTGATCCCGTCCCTCCTGCCCTGAGCGGGCTCCCTCCATCACGCCCATCGCTTGCGGTAGCGCCCTTCCTCCGGCATCCCTGCACCCGCCGACACCTGCTCTGCAGCCTCTCGGTCACGAAGTCCTTCCCGGATTTCCTCTTCCCGCTAAACAGCAGCACCAGACGCGGGTCGCCTCTGAGAGGGGCCATGGGGCCACGCCGCTCCACCGGGACACTTGGGACCCCAGAAACTCAGCCAAGCACGAAGTAGACTCGCCCAGTGGGACCCGGGATCCCAGCCCTCTCCACACCACACAGCCCAAGTCGAAACCAGCGCACAGAGGGAGGGCGAGCGAAGCCGGAAAGGAAAGAGCCTTGCAGCGTCGTATCTAGTGAGTCTCCCCCACGGCACGCACTTAGAACAGTCCGGACCCGCCCAGATGTGACGTCACGGACCCGCCTTCTCGGCTGACACTTCGGCGATGGACAACGTTTTGGAAAACCGCCCTAACATTCTTTTACACACAACCCCTCAAACATAAAGGGGAAAAGATAGTAATGTTTCAGGCATTTTCGAATTTTCCATTTTATTTGTGCGTTATACTGCATGCTCTAAAGCAAGTATGTGTTTGCCCCACGCTGAACAGCTCTTTCCAAAGTAACCAGACAATGACATGACAGGGTGTGTTTCGTGGCGTCATAGAGAGGGAGGGGCTTAGTAGAACGCTTGCTATTTCACTGTCAATAGGTTTTATAACTGCTGAGTCCGCCAGCAAGAACTAAGTAATGTCTTTTTCAGCCACATCCTCCTCTCCAAAGGTTTCAGAATCTAGAGAACATCAGTGAACAAAAATACCCAATCTCTGGAGACCAATATCCAGACAGGAGAGGCAGATGTTCTGACATCTTGCTGTTGTCTGTAGATATTATTTGCTGCCCTGCATTTTTCTGAGCTTGTCAAAACAGAGTCTGCAGCCCATGACTGCTTCCATTTTATGTACTCTAAAGCCATATGAAGACCAAAGTGAAGTATGAAGAAACCTCTTAGGAAAGGTTTCTTTCTGCCTATTGGAAAGAGGCAAGGCGCTGGAGAGATGACTCAGTGGTTAAGAGCACTGGCTTCTCTTGCAGAACACCCACCTGGCAGCTCATAACCAGCCGAAACTCCAGTTCTCTGTGAGAATTGCATGCAAGCAAAACATAAAATAATAATAATAATAATTTTAAAATAAAGAGAAACAGGAGCAGTCAAGTGCAGAAAGAACAGACTCAGGAGAGTGTATCAAAACCGCAGTCAGGGGCTGGGGATGCCCTCAGTTGTGCTTGCCGGTGCTTTCCTAGCCTGTAGGAAGCCCTAAGTTTGATGACCAGCACTAAACAAACTGGGTTCAGTGCCTGTAAGCTTCGCCAGCACTGGAGGTGGGAGCTGACAAGTTCCAGGACAGCCTGGGCCACAAAATGATAAATTATAAAAGAGAAGGAAGCGAGGCTGGTCGTGGTGGCTCATAATTTTAATTCCAGCACTTGGGAGGCAGAGGCAGGTGGCTCTATGTGAGTTCAAGGTCAGCCTGGTCTACACAGCTAGTTCCAGGACAGCCAGAGCTACAAACAGAGAAACTCTGCCTCAAAAAAAAAAAAAAAAAAAAAAAAAAAACAAACCAAACCAAACAAGAGAGAGAGAGAGAGAGAGAGAGAGAGAGAGGAAAGAGAAAAGGAAGCCGAGGAAAACGTAACAATACAACAAAATATTTTGTAAATTTTAAAGTATCCAATCACAGTGTGTTGTTTTCTTATTTTAAGCACCTTGCGGTTTCACAGTTTGTAATTCTGCACATTTTTCATCCCATCTTCATTAAACATTTCTCTGGATCCCACTGAAAGCCAGCTCTCACCACACCAACAAAGCTTGTATAGGGTAAAGTCACTTCTAGCCTCCTGCTAAGTCATCACTCAAAAGAAATCAGAACTTCCACCCAGAATTCTGCACTTGCCTGACACAACTCACTTCTCCCTCCAGCCCCACCCTGGAAGCAAGCCTCCCTTGAATTTTTCATCCCAGTCACAAACCTTTCTACATCACATCCTTGGGTTTTTTTTTGTTTTTTTTTTTGGGGGGGGGAATGTTCAAAACAGGGTTTCTCTGTGTAGCCCTGGCTGGCCTGGAACTCAGAGATTTGGCTGCCCCTGCCTCCTGAGTGCTCAGATTAAAGGCATGCACCTCCTGGCTCACATAGCCTCTTCACAGGTCTCTCCTGCTCCATCATCACTGTACCCCACTGTCCTCTCCAGGCCCTTTCCCCCTCCTACCACTCATAGCTCAGCATGGAGACTGAGTCTGTGGCCTCTCTGTGCTTCACTTCAGGCCTGTACTGCCCTACATTTTGGGAAATCCTGGCTATGCTGTTTGCCACTTCATCCTCTGTCCTGCTGGCTCACTTTCAAACCACTGGCTCCCAACTCCTTTTCCATCCAGTCCCTGTCATTGTCCTTAGTTACTCTGACACTCTCTTGGTCAGTCCTCTCAAAGAAGTTCAAAGTTTTCCCTGCTCTCCAAAGGCACAGGACACACCTGGACCTTGCTGTCATCAGAAGCCTTTCAGTCTGCCCACCCAGGCACCCACCCTTTAAGGTCACTTTCTCAAATTCTCTCCAAAGCAGTGTTTCTCTCCCAAGTCCCTCACTAGCATAGACAACTCTTCCTTCAACAAGTAAGGGTAACATCTGACTCTCAGGGGCCTCGGATCCAGGACTGTGCAGATGAAAGGCCATGACTGAAGGCTGATGCTAGGGGGGGAGGGGGGGGGGGGGGGGGGTCGGTATAACACTGCCTGGCAGAGACAGCTGGGCATGAGTCAGGCTTCCTGGACTGAGAGTGGAAGCCTGAGATGCCTGTCACCGTGCTTCACAGAAAGAGTAATGCTTGAGGAATCCCATGCTAGCCCAGAGCAGCAGGGAAGAACCCCTCAACACAGGAACACAGTGACCATGATAGCCACTTTTTAACTAACAGGTATGTAGAGACAAAACTGAAAAGCAAGGCCAGGCAGTGGTGGCACACGCCTTTAATCCCAGCACTCCAGGAGGCAGAGGCCAGTGGATCTCTGAGTTCAAGGCCAGCCTGGTCTACACAGAGAAACCTGTCTCAGGAAAACAAACAAAACAAAAACAAAATAATTACCTTGTTAGTGAGTTGCTCTCTTTAACTCTATTCAAATATGATTCCACACAAATGACCCAAGACCTGAAGCCAGCTAATCTCTCTTAACTGACTTGGTAAAAGTACCTTTTTCCTTCCCTCTTAGGGATATCATATTCTCTCTGTGTATCTCTCTCTCCTCTCTGTCTCTCTGAACTTGCCTGCCCTCCATGTCTCTGCCTACAACAGCTATTCTTCATTAAAACTTTTATATTTCTAGGTGTGTTGGCATGCCTTTAATCCCAGCACTAGGGAGACAAAAGCAGGTGGATCTCTGTGAGTTATAGGCTAGCTTGGACTACATAAGATCCTCTCAAAACTTTTATATTAGTTTTGGTCTGGTAAATACTTGTATGCCCATGCCTTGGGCTGGTGGTTCCTACAACAGGATAGGCCACTGGAATGGAGAGGTTTGCTTTGGGTTGAGACAGGAGACAGGCCTGTTTAAAGGAGATCTGCCGGCTGTATTCACATGCTCTACAGTATGAGCCCTTGGAGACCAGACCATCCTGTCTGCAGAGCACAGAGGTTAGAACACCTGCACTTTCTGTCCCCTTTGCCTGAACCACTCTTCTCATTATTCCTATGTGTAGCAAACACCTAGGAACGTCCCTCCTGCAACACCTAGTTTGGCTTGTCTCTGCCTCTCTGAAGTTTACTTTCTAACTCTTCTGACTTATCCACTTTTTTTGTTGTTTTTTTCATTTATTTATTCATTTTGATGTGTGGAAATGGGGTCATAAGCTACCATGTGGGTGTTGGGACTCAAACCCAGGCCTCTGGAGAAACAGCTGGTTCATCTGTCCAGTCCCTGATACCCATTTACTAAGTTCCTGTGAAGAGTTTAAGTTAGTCTGGGTATAGTTAGCCTGAGTATAACTCCATTTTGAAATAAAGAGCCATCTTGACTGGGAGTTGAATTCAGGTACCAGGAAATATCACAATATGTGCACCTGGCAGAAAACAAAGTTAACTCTCCTAGCAACAGCCTCCAAGAAATATCACAGAATAAATACTTCATAGAAAATAGAGACAATCTCCCTGGCAATAATCCATGAGAATCGAGTGGGAAAATTCTCCCCAATGTTTCAGATATAGTTTAAAAGAATAGCCATTGTGATCATATGTCTTAGGCAATTGTGCCTCAGAGAGGCATTTGCCTTAGGTAATTGTGATTCAGAGAAGGTCACCTCACCACTCTAACTTTTATCTAATCCTGTAACATCAAGGCCCCCCGTTTGCTGTCATAGAAACATGTGCCCGCCCCCGTTTGCTCTCATGGAAACCCCCTGATCATAGACTTTCCCTTTAAAAACCCTGCTCATTTCTCTACTGCTGTGTCAGTGAGACTTGGGTCCCGAGTTCAATTGCTCTTGTAATAAAGCTCTCTTGCTATTGTATTGAGTCATCTCCTGGTGGTCTCTGAGGGGTCTGCGAAGCTGGCAGTATACCTGGTCCATCACACACCTACCCACACGGCATCTTATTTTATAGCTATTATTTTGCTCATACATCAGTACTCCAGCTAATACGTCATATTTATTGAACACTTACTGTATGCAAGATAATTTTTCACCTAATCAAAAGAGAGGCTAAGGGAGGGAGAGCTAGCTCAGCAGTTAAGAGTGCTGGCTATTCTTACAGAGGACCTTGGCTCAGTTCCCAGCCCCCACATCGTGTTTCACAACCATCTGTAACTCCAATTCTAGGGATCTGACAGCCTCTTCTGGCCTCCACAGGCACTTCATGATATGGTGCAAAGACATGCATTCAGGCAAAACACCCATACACATAAAATAAGAGACTGAGAGGCTTGTCTCAAGGTCTATACTTCTAAATGATGGGACCAGCTCTGTCTGGCTCCAAAACCAGATGTTTTCCAGCGCAGGGCATGGACATTTACAGTCCTGGACAAACCTGTTCAGTCTTCACAGGCAGGGTTAGCCACTTCCCTCTGCTTCTTCCCCCCAAAACTGCATTCAGTGCTTTCCTCAGATGCTTGAAGGTATAGCAAGTGCTACCAAAGGCAGGGCTGGGCACAGGCGGCTGCAGTTGGGCAGTGTCCCAAACGAAGGAATGAATGGGTGCTGGGAGACTAGGAGGCCAGGACTTTCCCTGAGGTAAGAAGGGACCTCTGTGGGTATACCCAAGACTATGCATAATCCCATACTCAATTGCTCAAGATGCTAGCGCAGCTCCTCGA